GTGGATACTTGTGGTTGTAATAATCATCCAGGAAATCTCTGGACAGCCTCAGAGGAATCCAAAAATAGTAACTGCCTCCACAGGGAAGGAAATTCATGGATGAGAGGAGGCGCGGAGGGAGACGGGATTCTCTGTAGACCTTTTATCACCTTTTGAATTTCAGACCATCTTCATCTATTGAGCTGTCTTAGCTGCTTAAAGATAATAAAGATGAAAACAAACAAACCACCTAGTCACGACGAACAGTGGCCCTAGAACTGTACTGAGCCTTCTCTCTCTCTCTCTCTTTCTCTCTCTCTCTCTCTCTCTCACTTCTGCACTACAAGATCCTTCCTGGCCTTTTCTTGGTAAACTCCTACGCATGCTCCATGTCTAAATCCAAAGGTCACCTCCCCACTGAAGCTTCTCTTGGTTTCGTCTCCCAGAGTCACCCCTCGACGCTCCTAGGGCAGCCTGGACCTGTCTAGAAGGAGCTATGCATCACGGTTATTTGTCTGCCATGGTTATTTGGCTCCATCACACAGAGGGAAGTTCTTCTAAGACACGGCTTTAGTTTCACTCCTGTATTCCCCCAAAGCATGTGCATTTGGCCCCCCTGTTTCATTTCCAGCACTTATTCCAATGGCTAAAACAAGAACAGTCCTCAAGAGGTGGATGGTTCTCTTTGCCTCCTCGCCCTGTGTGTTCCCTCTCACTCAGTGAACACACTCAGCTGCATCCTAATGCCTTAGCCAGAAGCTGCCGGGGCTCCTTCAGAACCCACGTGGAGATTTAGGCCATGGCCACACCCGGAGAGCCATGATACAGTAGCCCCCTAACTTCCTTAGGACTGCAGGGCAAGCTACGGAAGGGTGCTCAGGAGGAGGGACCCTGGCCTCCCCCATTGTTGATCGCGTCCCTTAGCCAGTTGACTTTCAGCTCTCTGGACCTCAGGATGCTCGTCTATGAAAGAATCGTGATGACTGCACGTACCACTCCAAGTCCTGGTGACGTCCGACAAGATCGCGCAGCAGAGCGCAGTGCCTGCCTGCGGGCAGGCTCCCTAAACACCAGCTCTCACTGTTGTTACCAGGCGTGGCCTCGGAGTCGTGTTCATCGGTAGCTAAATACAGCAGGATTCAAGACCCGCAACTCCGGTGGAAGGTCTGTCCTTTAGCATTGATCGGGGCCGAGATAGGCCCCTCGTGTTGCCCCGCACATGAGCGCTGCCCGTAATTCTCAGCTGACGGCAGGACCCACAGTCACATCACACGCACCCAAGATCTGCAAAGAAGTCCGCAGGTGGACTGTGTCTGCTTTTTTATTCAGGTGACACCAGCTACAGACAGATACTTGGCCTCTTTCTCCACAGTGGCCTACATCCCGAAATAGGCAATGTGCATTCACAGACAGACCCAGCAGGCCCGGGGGGTTGGAAGGCAGGCTGCCAACATTTCGAACGAAGCCGAGCCTGGTGGGTATACTTCGGCACAGGTGAGCCTCAGCCCTCCCCCCCTTCCCCACCAAAGTGGCTTTTGGGGATTGATTTTTGTGCAAATGAAAGATAACTGGGTGACCTGTGACCACTGGGCCCTGCTGATTAGCACTCATGCGTGTAAGCTTTCCATGAGCCTAAGGCCAAATACTTTCCACTTTAAGACAATCCTATCTGTGCCCCAGTGCCCTAGAATAAAGGCCCAGGGAGGTAGCAGGCGGAGAAGCCCTATCCTGGAGCTACCCCAGGTAATTCTTCCCCTGCTCTGAAGAGGAACCCAAGGGAAGTGTGTGCCAGGAATGAGGTTCAAGTGGATCTCCCTGGAGGTCAGCCAGAGAGCTGATCTTGTAGGCCCAAACCGCTTCCCTACCACTTGTTAAAAGGCTTTCTCTTTCTTTATCCCTCTCTCCACCCCATCTCTCCTTTTCCTTCCTACCTGGACGTTGAGCACTTTGTACAGAGCAATTAACGGTCAGCTCATCGATGAAAAGGGAGGTGCCCCTCCTGCTCTGCGAGCCTACCCGGCACACCGCAGGTGCCTTCCCGAAATGCTGCCATTGTGAATTGACGGGGGATCAAGAATCTGAGTCTGGAGCCTAAGCTGTTGGTTAATTGTGTTTTGTTCTTCGAAACCTTACAGTATAATCACCAACAAGTCTTTCCTTTCTTTAAGGAGAATAATAATTAAAAAAAAAATCCTCTCTGTAAAACAAGAATCTTAGCCCGAAAGATCAAACGGCCATTCTGTTTGTACCACGCTGTGTTTTGTTTTTGTTTTTGTTTTTTTAACCCAAGGGGGTTACAAGCATTAGAATAGTTTACCTTCCTCTCCTTGGAAGAAAGCTAAGCAAGATTCTTCAAAACAGGCGTTCTTAATTTCTAAGCAGAAAAAAAAAATAATAATAAAAAGAAACTAACAGGTTTCCTGGAAGAGAAATTAAATTCAAGTACTTTCTATTTAAGTTCTGACTCTGCTTCATTGATACCTTATTCTAATTGTCCCCATTATCTAGAAAAATAGGAAATGTCGGTTGCATATTCTGTTGAAGAATTCACAGGGCCGATGAAATGAAGAGACCCATTTGGCTTGGCAGAAATGAGATGATCATCACTCACAGACATGTCTACAGGAGAGATGCGTCTCATCTGCTGAGCCAGGCTTCGGAGGAGCAAATGAGTGCAAAATATGCTAATTTGCGGGGAGCCAGGCACATACTCCAGATCATACTGGTGCTTTCGCAGGGAAGTGCCTCTCCGCTCCCTGAAGGGCATTTCCATTCACTGGCTTATTTCCCATAACAAACATGGGCCAGAGCAAGGGAGAAAGAGTTGGGGAGCTCCCCAAGTTGCAATTTTGTCCTCCAATAGATCCACATTCAAATATGAGTATCCAATACCTGGGAAGTCGCCACAGAGATAGGGTCTAGTCATCATCTATGTCACAAAAGCTTGCAGGGGGTGGTGGGGGGACTGGAGCGGGTGTAGGTAAAGAGTCCCGCCTCCCTTGCAGGAACTGGTTTATCTGTTTGTCTGTGTTTTTGGTCCACAACAGAGCAGATTGATTCAGGGCTAAGAGACTTAAGCTCCAGCTGAAGTCAGACTTCTTAATGATAAACATTTCCAAGGATAAAAATTACGTCAATATGGCCAGAGGCAAGTGAGTTACATTCTCCAAGACTCGGTTTTCTCATTTAGCACATCTTGGACATTTATAATACCTACCTCATTAGGTTTCTGCAAGGATTGTGGGAGGCCACAATGTCTTTCAATATCTTGTTTGCCTGACGTGTACTAGGCACTCAGTACCTGTTAGCTGCCATTATTATGACTTTTCTCTCTGTAACATCAGCTCCCCTTCCTCATGTTCTAGTCAAAATATAAAGTCTCTATTCATGTGTTTGATGGATATTTATTGGGAACCTACTTTGGTCCAGACACAGTGCTTGCAACTAGGAGCACAGTGGTCCTCAAATAAGTCCTGCCCTCAAGAACCTCCGGGTCTAGCTGAGAAGACAGGTAATCAAATAGACAATTCCAGCCCACTGCTGACAACGCAGTAGACGGTGTAATCTCTGACTACCAACGTGCTGTAGAGGAGATACCCACGGCTCAGCCTTCAGGGATGAGAGAATTCTTTAGAGGTGCTGAGGTCCAAGCCACGACACAAAGCGACCAAGAGTTGGCTTGGGAAGAGAGGGAGATTATCGGGCTTTGGGGAAGTGACAGTTGTATCCTACAGTATCCCACAGTGGAGGTGTCTGCTAAAGGCTGGGTGGACAGAGAGAATGGCCAAGAGAGGAGTCCAGACAGTAAAACAGTGGCTCCTACCCCGAGAGGGTCCCAGACATTTACGAAGGAATTCAGATCTCTGACACTAAAAAGATTAAGTAGGAAAGTAGCACCTATCGGGACATAGGGATGTTGTTTACAGTATTTGTATGGAAGATGTATCAGGGGCAAGGTGACTGGTCGGGTGGCAACCGTCATAACTCTGGAGAAAGAGGACCAGGCTTATGTTTGCAGGATGGCAGTGGGGAGACAAGAGATATTAAAAAAAATATATGTATTTCAGAGATAACCAGACTATCATCAGTAGGAATCAACAGAAATAAATTGCTTTTGGAGGTAAGGCACTGAGAGGCATACAGTAGCACCTCCATATTTCTGACCTGGATGAATTTTGATGCTACCCCGAAACACGACATAGAGGACAAAGTTACGTATTGGGCCTCTGCATTTAAGGCATCTGTTGGACATCCATATGGAGATGAGACATAGACATATGGATTGATGGACTTAGAACCCTAAAATGTAGGGAGTCATGCCAATAGAATTATTTCTTACATTCTATCTGGATAGCTGGATGTTCGATAAAAATAGCTCTAGTTATCACTGACAAGATAGATAAGATAAAAGGATTCAGAGAATCCTAAAACTTAAGAACGGTTAATGACCCTAGGTCCAACTACCCTGTGGCCTGGAGAGGAGCTCATTAATCGAAGGGTACAGGGACAGTGAGGGGCAGAGCTGGGCCTGAGATCTGAAATCAGCCTTTTTGGCTTATGATCTTGTGGTCGGTCTTTGGAGGTCTAAAAGGTTCAGCCTCCTGGCCATGGGATATAAGCCTCCCTGTTCATATTTATAGAATTCTCTTCAAAAGAATAAAAGGAGGAAAAAGCAACATGGCAATTGTCTTAGTCTGCCCAGCTAAGTCTTTCCTTGGGAACCCAGTTCCTTTTTGCTCCTCTGAGTTTTCTAGTCATTCCTCTCCCACAAATATACAAACAACAACAACCACAAAATCCATCGCCCTTGTACTAGTACAGAACAGGTGTTCACTAAAGAGAACCCAAGAACAACAGCGAATAATCACATTCTTCAAAGACTCAGAAACTAGGCCAACTTCCGTCTCAGATTCTGCTTTTGATTTGGCGCAGGTTCAAACAAAGGCAGGTTGGAGGAAGGGGCCTGCTGGGCATCATTTCCATCCCCACATTCATAATACAGTAAAGTAGCTCCATCTTACCTTCTTCACCCATTGGATACCTGCTGCCAATTTCTATAACACACTCCACCCATCGGATTGGTCACTCAACAAATGACAAGCGGAACGAGTGTCACAGGGCCACGGAGTCGAAAATACGGTGATTTCTGCAAAAAGTGAAAGGATCATTATTAACCTGGAGGCGACATGAATCAACGAAATGACACACTACTAGACACCGGGGATACACCGTTGCACAGACAGGCTTTTCTCTTAGAGCAGAGCAGTCCAGGTGTGGAGAGAAAGATGTAGGCAAAGTATTGCCATCGTGCGAAAACTGGGGAAAACCTGCCGTGGGTTTAGAACAACCGAAAGATGGTGTGACTAACTCTATGTGCACTTAGTACTTTGACGAAAAGATAAGAGCAGCCATCATCCAGCCCCCTACCCTTCCTACGGACGTCACATACATTTGCTCTGCCACGAGCAACAGACCTGTAGGGGGGATAGCAACTCTCGGAGCCCGTTTCTGAGATGACCCACGTTCTATCTGAGTCCAAAGTAGGTCCCCTCCCTCTGCAAGGGGGAGCCACTGTTCTGGTGCTGCCAGAGCCTTGTGCAATGACAGTCCCAAGGGCACAGAGGGACAGCGGTGGCTGCGGTGATAGGAGATGTCATCCCTACACCAGCAGGCCTGAGCACGGGGCGGACAGAGCCGCAATTCTTCCTCGAGACTACATTTTTCTCTGCCCCCTCCCGCGCTACAGCACTCTGGATTTCTGTGTGGGGGCCGTGTTCCGCCTGGATTCTGGTCTGATTCATCCTCATATCTCCCAAGTGTCTAACACATTCCCTAGCCCAGAGCAGCTGTTCAATGTATGTCTGTTCAGTGAATGAAGAGAGGAATACGGGGCGTCTGAACAGCTGTCGTCTTCAAAAACTGAGGCACCGAACCAAGGAAGGTGGTTGCTGGCATAGCTTTAACACAATGGCACGAAGGATTTCTTGAATGTCCTTCATCTCCAGGGTTTCTACCTTCTAGGATCAACCCAGACTGCATTAGCATCTGAAACAGCTCCTGGGGCACCCGGGTGGCTCAGTCAGTGAAGCGCCCCACTCTTGGTTTTGGCTCAGGCTGTGATCTCACGGTCATGAGGCCGAGCCCCGCATCCAGCTCTGCACTCAGCGTGGAATCTGCTTGGGATTCTTTCCTCCTCCCTCTCCCTCTGCTCCTTCCCCTTGCTCTCTCTCTCTCTCTCTCTCTCGCTCTCAAATAAATAAAATATATATTTTTAAAAAAGAACGGAAATAGCTTCTTATTTGACTTTACTTATTATGCTTCTTTTTTTGTTTCCAAATCCATTTTTCTTATCTCATCTTGGTTCCACCCAACAGCTCCTCCTCATGCACCATGCCTTCCTCCCCCCCAAAACAGCAATGACAGCAGCAACAAGCAAACACCCTCCTTGGTGAAGGGCTACAGATAAATTACGTATCCAAAATGCGTCCATAGCATCTCGATACGGTGATTATAGCAAGAACAAGGAAATTTCCTACTGTGTGCTATTTCCAGGATGTTGAGGACAGACTAGCAATGGGATTATTCGCAGATGAACATGGAGTCAGAGAGAAAAAGCCACCTGGACGATTCAGAGAACACATAACTGATGAAGGTCCCTACTTTGCAACCACACTGCATGTTGAGCCAGTCTTCAAAAATGGCCCCCTCCCAAATGAACCATACGTCTCACATATTCATGCCCCAGGGCCCCTCCTCTGTGAATCTGAGTTGTCTGTCCTTGGGTCACCAATGAAACATAGCAAAGGGACACTCTATGATTTCGAAACCGAGTCCTAAGAAACCTTGCAGCCTGCCTTGTGCTCGTGGAAAGCTGCATCTGGAAGAAGTCAGCTGTCATGTCAGAGGTCTAAAGACTCTAGACCCAGATGCTATGAGGAAGCCCCAGGTAGCCAAGGGGAGAAGCTGCATGGAAGGAGAGAGAGGAGAGAGAGAGAGAGAGAGAGAGAGAGAGAGAGAGAGAGAGAGAGAGAGAGAGATTGAGACGCCCAGCCGTACCTAGTTATTCTAGGCATCCGAGCCAGGGTGCCAGCTGGGAAGCAAAGATGCCATCTTGGACATCCAACTCAGTCAACCTTCATGCACCTCCACCATCTGACTACACAGCGTGAGAGACCCCAAGTGAAAACCACCCAGATGACTTCACTAAACTCAACTATAAAAGGTAATAGTGAATTGTTACAAGCCGCTAAATTGAGGACCGTGTGTTCCTCAGCAGCGGATAACCAGTACGCCATAAATGGAACAGGGATCTGCCACTGCCACGGCCTCACTAGTGCATTCTCTTTAAATACGTGTCACCACTGTGGTTGTCCTAAGCCCCTCCGAGTATCTCACCCCACTACGCGAAGGGTGAGACTCTTGGCCAAGGTGTGCAGCCAAAGAGATCCAAGGTGGGACCAGAATTCAGCAGACACGACAGGCTCTGCTCCTTCTCTCTGCACCCCCAGTATGCAGTCAGCTCGTAATACAGCTGTATCTGTAGCCAGCGTGCTTTGAAAAGTTTACTTCTCAAATCCATAAAATCTAATTGAACTCCCACTTGGCCTTGCACCGCTTACTTCCCTGCAAAATATCCCCTATAAAATCCCTTTCACCAAAAGTCTGCACAGACAATTAAGAGGTTTGGAAGGAAAGCAAAAATAGCTGGGTGAATTGTCTATGAATTCCGAGGACTGCAAACACTCGAGAGAGACAGGATGTAGGTTGTGTGGAAATGTTGGTATACAACTGTACCGAGCTTCTTAGAAAAGAAAACAAAGGCTTAGAAAAAAATCTTAGCTGTCTCTGTGCTTTCAGCAGAGTTGACGGGAAGAGAGCTTGTTGGGGCTGAGAGGTCCTTGCGTGTCTACTGCCCATCTTCTCTTTCCACTAGAGTCCCTGCCTGGAATGTTGACTTTCCTTCCTCTTCCCATGACTCCCCCAGACCTGGAGTCATGCGTTCCCTTCTGAGCCATGGAAATCCAATGTAGCCCCGTGGCATCTACCCTCATCTACTCTCAGACCGTCTCCTCGTCCTCTCTCAGGGCCTGTGCGCCATCATGGGCCTGCTCCGAGGACAGGGTCACGGCCTCTGCGCCCCGTCCAGTGCTGTGCTCAGCCACCGGCAGCCCTGAGCCCCCTAGGGGCACAGACGCCTCCTGCCGTAGATGACTGCGGAGAGACTGAGAAGTCAGGGGAAAGAACACGGAAGCCAAGGGCATCGAGAAGGTTGGGGAAATCTCTAGCAAGCGTACAGAAAGCAAGGAGAAACGCCAGGGAGGGAGGGTGGCACATTTCCCTTGCTGAGCTCTGAGTGTTGAGAAGGTTCCGTACATGCAAGTCCATAGGCTTCCCTTTGACCCAGAAGTCTCTCTGTCCTTCTCTGAGGGTCTCTGCTCCACATCAAGCACCTTGGCCTACAGATCTGCAAGTGTGGATGCTCTTCAGGAGCGTGGACTCAGCCAGGCCAGGCATGGGCTGGGATCTTGTTAACAGTACAGGGGCAACAAGGACAGCAGTAGGTAGTGCTGGGGGGTGGGGTCGGGGGGAGGGTAAGGGCTGGAAGTACTTGCATTAAGTTAAAATAGTTCCCACCTCACTGACTCCATCAACAGGATCCTGGGCCACCTGCTGTGTGTGCGATGCTGGTGTAGGTGGGGGGGGAGGGGGGAGAGGTGAAAAGGCCAAGAGCTGTCACGGAGGGGAGCAGGGGAGCCCAAGGTCACAGTGACAGCTCCATTTTATAGACAGAAGAAAGCAGCTAAGCGGTAAGTGCCCACATGCTTAGAGCCGGGGAGCCGCATGGCCCGACGGGTCCCCAACAACCCACCCCTCTCCTGGCGGATTTGAGGCCTGCTTCCCGGGGGAAATCATACCCGCCCCTCTAGGACATCAGCCCAGAAAACGTCTACTTTTTTAGTAAAACAACACAACAGAGAATCTCCAGTGCTTTGGTAGGGAGCTGACTGGAACGAACGGTGATTAAATAGATTAGTATTAAACCAACAGATGAAATCTCCGGGTTCGGAGGCCGCCACGTTCTGGCAAAGAAGCCCAGCAGAGGCCATGCGCCTTCCAGTTGGAGTGGAAAGACCAAGCGGTCCTGTCGTCCCACTGAAGCTGCTGCTGCGTCTAGTTCTGTGGGCAGGAGAAGGGGCAGCAGAGGGGCGCCTGGCTCTGCCCCTGCCCCCGCTCCCCCCACCCGCGACAGGGCCTTCTTCCTTTTGTGGGTGTCCTGTCTGCCTGACATTGCTGAAGGGATGAATAAACGCCATTAATAATCATCACTGGGTGTTTCTCTTTCCTGTTATGGCCCAAGTTCCAAAACCATATGGCGAAGCATATTTTGTAAGATAGGTTTATGGATTTTGAATTTTTTTGAAAAAAAATAGTGAGGGGGAGGAGTGGGCTCTTGAATGCGAGGAGACATTCGGTTGGAGGGCACGCTTCGCCCCTCCGAGCCCCTCTGACTTGGGGCAGGCGACTCCGGGCTGCACTTCGTCACTAGGCAATGGGAGTAGCGACTGGTTGGCAGGATGGCGCTCCGTGGGCAGCTGTGACCGCGGAGAGACGCCCGCTGTGTTCTCCATCGTGCATGCGACCTAAGGGTTAGCTTGGCCCTTTACCGTGAATTCACCACTCAGATGGCCCCCTGGCCCGGGCGCCACCCACAGAGGCCGGCGCTCGGCTCCGCGCAGCACAGACCCCGCGCACGGGGTGTCAACCCGGTGGACGTTTCCCACACCAGCCTTTCTCAGATGGAGACACGGCGCCTCAAGAAATTCAGGGGACCCTCAACCTCCCGGCTCCGCTCAGACGCCTGCTCCCATTGAGGGAGGAGGACTGCCTGGGGCTCACGCCAGCCTGCAAAACCTCCAGCCCAGGCCCTGCGCCAGGGGGGATGACGACGGGGATGACAGCGGGGACAAGGGTGGGGATGACGGCAGGGATGATGGTGGGGATGACGAGGCGGATGATGGTGGGGATGATGGTGGGGATGACCATGGGGATGATGGCGGGATGACGAGGAGGGATGATGGCAGGGATGACTGTGGGGATGACGAGGATGACAGAGGGAGATGACAGTGGGGATGACTATCGGGATTA